CCCCCCCCCCCCCACACACACAGATGGGTCCATCTCAGTGCCAGTCAAACTGGGTTAATTGCTGATACAAAGGGCTGCACAGTCAGCTGGATGAATAGACAAGCCTACTCTGTAACTGAAAAGTTTGTTTCCATTCAAATTAAGTTGCCATCCTTCCTGTCCCCGTTTCAACTCCTTTAAAATGGATTTTTATATAGTTAGAAGTTTATGAAAAGGTTGTAATGACTAATGATTAAAACAAACAAAAAAAACAAAAAAAAACAATTACGAGCTAATTATTTGACTCTGTCCAGTAAATCTACCTGAAAAGCTTGTTAAGGTTTTTCATTGGACTTTGGCTGCTTTTTGATTCATTTTCAGTCAGGTCACTGACTATTTTCAGAAGAATGTTTTTATTATTTTTGTTTGTTGGGTCACTTCACTCAGCTATGAATCATTCTGGTTATAAAAAGCCCTCTAAGCCAGGGCTATTCAACTGGTGGTCCGTAGGCCTCTTCCAACGCATGGATGATTTCATTCCGGTCTGCCAATGTTCATGTTGTTGTTTGGTGTATTGTTATTGTATTACTAGTGCTTAGCCTATTTTTAGTTAAACATTTTTCTTCGCTCATATCTTAGATCTTATTACTGTTTTTCTTTTACATTTTATACTTTGTTGGATGTAACTGGGACCCTGTGTACACAATTTCATTCCCCCACATGTACTACATGTGGTGCGAATGACAAATAAAGAAATTCTGACTCTCAATGAGTTCATTGAAATTCATTGGAAAAAAATTTATTATTTACCTGTATATTTTTTTGTTGTTCTGAATTTGGGGTTTGGGTTCTGTTCATTGCCTTTATGATTCAATGCAACAAAATAAACAAGTTTAAAAGGTAGATCATTGTAAAAATTGGTTTATTTACATAATGACTAATTGCCTTTCAGGTCTCTCTTGTAAATGAGTCCCTGAGACTCAATGGGATTAACCTGTATAAATAAAGGTTGAATGAATGCTGGATGTCTGGCCCCTGAGCTGCTGGCTTTCGATAACTGTGCCCCCCTGAGTGGAATAGCCCTGCTCTAAGCTTTAAGGGACAAACCCATGTTGTGTTTACCCATAATGCACCACAAAGAGTCATATCAAGAGTCAGGATCTTTAGGCACTTTGGTACCAGTAACCTGTCAGAAAGACACAAATTGTTCATATTTCTTTTGGTTAAATTAATAATACATACCAAAGATAACACCATTTGGCTCTTTTTTTTTTTTTAGCACCAACTAACTTAGTGATACAAAAACCTTGTCATAATGTAAATCAGGAGAGTCCAATCCTGGTCCTCAAGGGCCACTATACTATGTTTTAGGTATTTCTCTGCTCCAACACACCTGATCTGAATCAATGCATGACTAACAGGCATCTGCAGAACATGAAGCATTGAATCAGGTGTGTTGGAGCAGAGAAACAAGTAGGACATGCAGGATAGTGGCTCTAAAGGACCAGGACTGGACACCACAGATGTGAGCAATCAACTGAAACACGATGCATCACTCAGGTCCTGTCTCGAGTCTTAACTGAGAGAGTACTTTCAGATTATATTAAATGTTTTTTGTGTCTGATACTTCTTGTTTTGTCCTCCACATTCTTCATAATGTCACACTGCACAATTTGCTGTCAGGTACATCATCTGGACTGAGAAAAGGCCAAGTCCAGGTCTGAAGAAACACTTTGAAAGACCCACCAATCAAGACCATTTGAAAAGCTCACAAGTACACATAACTCCTTGGAATAAAATTTTAAGAAATTAATAAAGGTTGTTTCAACTGTTCAGCCAGGTACTACATACTCAGTAGCTTTGGAGAAAATACACTTTTCAAATCTAAAACTAACTGAGAAATACCCTAACAAAGGTTAAATCAGGTCCTCTGGACGGATTCTTCTTTGTTGAAACATTTCACCTTTTATTCAAAAGACTTCAGTATTTATAAATAGCACCTTCTCATAGTGGATCAACCAGTCTGCTGGTGACAGACAAAACTAATTCACATGCAAAAGGAGGACCATCAGCCTTGATCGTTTTTACCCTGAAGGCCGCTTGCTGTTCACAGAGGGCTGAGTGATGAAACAACAGCATTGTTATGCTGTTGACTGGAGTCCTGTTTGGGTTTCTTCTCTGCTTTCAGGAAGGCCCAGTTAGGATATCCACATTGCTCTAGAGCCTGTCTTGTGCGGGATTTCTCCTTCTGCCTGGCTCCTGAGCTAGTGGGGACGCTGTCTGCTCTGTGGTACAGAGTCCTGATGACTCCTAACTTGTGCTCCAAAGGGTGATGGGAGTCAAACTGCAAATACTGGTCTGTGTGGGAGGGTTTGCGGTACACCTCAGTTTGCAAAAGTCCTCTATCAGAGACTGAGACCTCACAGTCCAAGAAAGCCAACCTGCCATTTTTTACATCTTCTCATGTGAACTTTATATATTTATCCACAGAGTTGATGTGGTCAGTAAAATGTTGGACTTCCTGAGATTTAATTTTAACCCAGGTGTCGTCAACATACCTGAACCAATGACTTGGTGGTGTCCCTGAAAAGGACGTCAAGGCTCTCTTTTCTACCTCCTCCATGTACAGGTTGGCAACAATAGGAGGAACTGGAGACCCCATGGCACACCCATGTTTCTGCCTATAATATTGCTCCCCATATGTGAAGTAGGTTGACTGCAGGCACAGTTTCAAGAGTTGACACAGTTGTTCTGTGGAAAGCGTGGTCCTGCTGCTCAGAGTGGTGTCTGATTTTAATCTTAAACTGACCACCTCTACTGCATCATCAACAGGAAGTAAAGAGTGATGTGACATCAAAAGAGACCATTGTTTCATCAGTCTCCATGATGACATGGAATCAGTCTCCCCACCATCACATACATCTACACCTCCAGATGTAAGAAGAGAGCCACCTGCATCATGAAGAACCCCACTCACCCAGCACACACAGTTTTTGCCCCGCTCCCCTCAGGCAGGAGGTTGAGGAGCATTAAGCGTAGAACCACTAGACTGAGGAACAGCTTCTACCCTGAGGCTGTTAGACTCGTGAATCTCTAACCAGAATAATCACTGTGGAAAATTACATCATGTTGCTGCTGATCTGTTTCATGTTGCTGCTGATCTGTTTCACGTTGCTGTGTTCATTCGTACTCATCAGCTCACACAGACTCATGTTCGTTCTGCTGTTCGACGTATTGTTTTTATGCTATTAGTGCTTGGTGTATTTTTAGTTGATGTTTTTCTTAGTTCATATCTTAAATCTTATTACTGTTTTTCTTTTACATTTTATTGTTGGATGTAGCTGGGACCCTGCGTACATAATTTCATTCCACCACATGTACCACATGTTGTGCGAACGACAATAAAGAAACTCTGAATCTCTGAATGATATCCTTCACTTTATCCACAAAGTCCATGGTGTCCACATAGGGTCAGGGCATCCGACTTGGGACCCGGAGGTCCCGGGTTCGATCCCTGGTCATTGCACATCTCGTGGTGTCTCTGAGCAGGACACCTTATCCCCAGTTGCTCCCCAGGTGCTTTCCATAACTGCCCACTGCCTCACCTGGTGGTGGATGGGTTAAATGCAGAGAGCCAATTTCGTCATTGTATGGGAACATACAATGATGACAACACATACACATTATTATTATTATATGGTCCACATATCTCTGCCAACTAAAAAGCTGAGTAGAGATGCCAGATATTTGGAAACATCATGCTATCAATTAGTCTTAAAGGTACGCATTGCTTGTGAATTTTTGGTAAACCATAAACTCACCACGCTCAGCAAGGACAAGAACATCATCATCATCCTCCCAGCAGACAAAGAAACTAAACAGCCACTGGCCAAAAGGATGGCCCAGCACAGAAGAGCAACATCATCAGGCCAAGATTTTGCATTTTACCCTAATCTCCTGGTTAGAGGTCACTCTTTCAGGGATGAAGATGTTCACATCCTTGATAGAGAGGAACTATGGTTAGAGAGAGGAGTAAAGGAGGCCATCTTTGTGAAGAGAAACTGTCCGTCATTAAACAGGGTGGAGGCCTCCATGTTCAACCGTCCCCCTCTTACAATGCTGTTATTGCTAGTATCACTCAGTCTTCTGTGAATAGCAAGCGGCCATCAGGGCACTAACGACCAATTGTTAGGCTGATGGTCCTCCTTTTACAAGTGAACTAGTTTTGTCTGTCACCAGCAAACTGGTTGTTGCAGCTGCTCAGACTAAGTCTTCTGGATTAACAAAAGGAAATGTTTCAACAAAGAAGAATCCATCCAGAGGACCTGACTTAACCTTGTTGGATTCATCTACCTGGATTATTGAGCATCAGGACTCAAACACATAATAAAGGAGGTACTTTGGGAATGATTCCCGTTCTTCCTCAAAGTTGAGTTTCAATTTTGAGAGAACTATTTTGAAGCACAGTCCTGGATTAGGGCTAATGCCACCAAAGGTCAAATGATAACCCCCCTAAGACTTCCAGGTGTGTTCAGGTGTTCTCCACACCTGGGACAGTGAAACAGCGTCAAGGCGAAACTTTTGATTAGTAAATGAGGTAAAGTAAACAAACAAACAAACAAACAAACAAAACAACCCAAGGTCAAAGGTCGAGTTCTAATAAAAGCTGCCTGCCTTGTGGTGCAGCCCAGCAGGGTTCTGCAGGGTTCTGGGCCTCCTACTCTGACGAACTGCGTTACTCAACCTTTCTGTCATGTCAGCACATTCACACAACTCCTGTTGAAAATATCAATGAGGAAAACATGAACACCAGCGACCTTTGCCCGCTTTGCTCATAAACACCCAACACGACGCTTCCTCTGTTGTTAGTCTGAAAGAGCTTCACATTCCCACCTGAGCACGTCGGTGTCCCGGTCCGGTCCGGACGGACAGCTGGCCGAACACAGTCCGCTCTGAGGTAGGAGTTCGGCGTTGCTGTGGTAACCCGTTAAAACCACTCCCTGAGCCTGGTGCCGACTCATGTTTCCCTTCTTCTTCTTCTGTGTTGCGTTTCACACACGGCAGACATCCGAACACCGACCTCCAGGCAGGCTCTCGGTCCGTCTGTGGGTCTATCTGCGGACGGGTCTCATTGCTGGACTCCTTTTGGTTCCGCTGCCTCGCGCTCTCTGTCTCTTCTTCTCGTCTTTCCTTTCTGCTGTGGACCGGAGCAGAATTACACACTGACCGCAGATCAGCCCACATCACAGGGAGTTTTCACGGGAAACAGCGCCCCCTGCTGCTCAAACGGAGCACTGACTGTTTCCTGTTGGCATCATCTTTCTTCACCCTGCTGCCCCAGCATAGAAGACACTGGAGTCCAGTCCAGTTTATTGTCTAGGTGAACCCCCAGTACTTGTAGCAGTCCACAGTATCAACCTCACCTTTGATCTGGTATCTGGAAAAGTTCACAAGTAAAGGCCTTCAAGCTGCTCCGTTTGTTACAGTTCAGGAAAATCTGTTAGATTTCATAGTTTGTAAGGAGTACCTTCAACTTAAAGGATCTGTACCAGACAGTTGAATATTTTTATAACATTTTAGAACAAAGAAAAATACCAATCCTAAAAAAACATAATAAAAAGACATTTTCTTGTTTAGATCAAATATAAACACTAAACTGTGAAGGACTATGTATTTTTTACTTTTGTGAAAAATTAATATAGGTATCCCACTTTGAAATAATAAGGCATTTAATTAGAGCAAGTTTGTTGGATGTGTAATGATACATTTCCTTTCATTAATTTAGAGATCCATGTTTCAAGTTTTTTTTTTTTTATCCAAGGCAAGCTGTTTGTGATTTTAAGTCTTATACGATTTACCATTTGTTTCTTTAATTTCCTTCTGTAGTTATAAATTTAAATATTTTTAATTTCAATGTTAGTTCTAGTCAAACCTACAGAGAGCTGCTGCAGAGGGCCCAGACAGCAAAACTGATTGATGCTCTATTAATCTGGGGGAAATTCTGAAAAACTCATCATCATGATGTTAAAGACATGTTAAACTCATTAAATAAACACATTGATTAAACATTAAATGCTTTGTAATCTCTCTGTATACCCAACATATTACTCACAGCTGGGAGGAAACAGAAACATAAAACCCCAGAATCCTAATATATTTGTTAGCACTTAAGTTTTGAGATGCACAGACACTTTTGTCTTTTCGCTCGAACACTGCTACCACTACTTCGCAGTTCATTTATCGCACTCATTCTGTTGCAATTTTTCAAAATAAGATTGGACATGACACACAATTGGATGACTGATGGATGAACCGCACGATTGGCATAGAATTTTTTATTTAAAATAAATTATTTTAAATTATTTAGCACCTGCTGCACCTTTGTACAGCCCATACTGCAGGATAAACTTCCTGCTGCAGCTGATCAGCTGTTCTCCGTGCAGAGTGAAGAAGTGGGCGTGGCCAAGAGCGCTTGCAGGTGGCAAAGATCAGAGGAGGCAGGGAGCTGAGATCATGACATTCTGTGCTCTTTTAGAGCGTTTAGAAATATTGTTTAGATTATTGCATGTGGGAAGGGTTTAAAACACCATTATACATACATATATATATATA